GTAGGAGTAGTTACAGTGTACTTTAAACCGCAAACATCCCAACAGCTCTGGTTGTTTCCAACCAATATTTAAACCCAGTCATTTCTCTCACTTCTTTGTAAGGTCAATAAAAACCCAGAGTAAACGGTGATTTTCCACTCGTTACTTTACGGATGATTAAAGCACAAATTACCAGTCTGGACAAGTGCATCAAGTTTTTGCACAACAAAGACAGACTTACAGAAACATATCCACCTAAAGGCATTTTAGAGTGTTTTTCCAACAATACAGCTGGACAACTTTGTGAATTTATATCTCCATAAGCTCACAGTAAACAAGAAATAATGAAAGTCAACTTTTAAACCCCATTAAAACATTTTTAACTTCTGGAATTGCACGTCTACTTTGTGCTTAGCAGTATGAGACTGTTTTTAGTTCTTTTTGTTATAAAGTGTGTGACAGTGCATACAAAAGAAGTGTATAACAAACATATTTATTATATTATCTCAGAAGGCTCTGAATATGAAAAGCCGTTGAATCATATTCTCATATGTGTCCAATTAAGAGCTAAAGTTCAAACAAAGGACTTTGGTTTGTGTTTGGGTGGAAAATCTTTATCTTGAAAAACAAAGTCCCCACATTCTTTTTTTTGGTCCACCCATTCCTTTGTCCTAAACTACACAAACAAATCATCCTCCCTCTGAGGCAACATAAAGCCTCATTACCATAAAGGGAAATGCCACTAGTTACAGCACAGACAACCGACTTCCTGCTGTACGTTGGTGAAAAGTGCTTCTGTTGAAGCGATGATATTAACAATAAAGAACAGATTATAGTAAAACATATGATGACTAAACTATTAAGTTAGTGTTTATTGAGTTACGTGTTCCTTAAAGTTTGACAAATCAAGAACGGTCACTGACGAGAAGTAAACGCAACAACAGGAGAGAAAAAGACAAGATGGCTTCCTTCCTGAGATAGATGGAGAACTTTTGCTAATCGTCTTTTATAATGTCTGTGAATGTTTCTGTTCGGTGCCCTGAGATGACTTCTGTTGCGACTTGGAGCTATAGAAATAAACTGAATTGAATTGAAAGTAGCAGTAGACCTGTCGCGATAAACAATAAATCAATTAATCGCATGATCAATGAAAATTATCAACCTCCTTTTCATTTATCGGCTTTATCGCTTCTTCGTGTCTCTCTCTTTTTACTGAAGACACTGGATGACAAAAGGTTCAACTCCGGTGCTCTTCACTGATTCCTCCCTTTCTCTTTCATCTTTAAAAATCAGTTTTAACCAAATCGCGTTATTGGATCGTTTAAAGCAGCTCAGCTGAGAAGCTAAGCTACGAGCTAAGCTAACAGGCCGACCTCGGGGAAAAAACTTCCATTTTGTCAAAGCTGCAAAATTCACGGTTGAAACCCGTGTCTTTGTGTAAAAAGTTGTTTTTTTTCTGCAAAAAGAAGCTGAGAACTTGTTTACTGATTTTTTTATTAAAAGCTTTGTGTGACAAATGCTATGCTAAAGAGCTCAAACCACGCCATTTTGAGAACTGGAAAAAAGGGAAAGAAAGACAGCCCATGTCACGTCAAGGGGCCTCCCTCCCATTTTTCTTAAAGAGACACACTGCTCACTCCCTCACTATCCATTCTTCTGTTCAAACAGTCATACTGCCATCCAGTGGTCAAAAAATGTACTACACTAAAAATAAAATTAACATTTCTTCTTAAATTTGACAATAATTTCTAATTATAATAATATATATAATATAATAATTACTAATTATTGTCAAATTTCAAACAATAGTAACGTTTATCGCAATAGTTTCTGAGACAATTAATCGCCCAGCAAAATTTGTTCTTGTGACAGGTCTAAGTAGCAGATAAGATTCAAACCTTAAACGTAGAGCAGGCCCTCCTGACAGACGTCTGTCGACAGATTTAAATTTGGCAGTTTTAGGTGCTTTGTAAGTAAATACTCTTCGAAGAGTTCACTCTCACTCAAGATTCTCACTTAGTTTAATAGCAGCAAATAGACTCTAAAGGATTTTTAAAATCTTCCTATTTAAACTGCGTTTTACAAAAAGTAAACAATTTGTGATAATTGGCTCGCTTACAAAGTGTTGATTGCAGCAAAGTTGCACGAATTTACAGACGCATCCGAGGGATCCAACGAATGGCAGTAAACACAATTTGCCAAGCTCCCCTGATTAAATGAGCTTTGAAATAATCAAAACGTGGTCAAAATCCTGTGGAGCTGGTCTCATCCTCTTCATAACAGGCACAAGGGCCTGATAACACTCCACTTTTTCTGAGGGACAAAAGGAATTCAGCAACAGGAAACGGAGCGCCGATGTTAAAGGAAATCCCAGAGGATGGGAAGTAAGCTCTAACGTGTATGCAAACAAAACCAGCAGAGGCTATTCTACTCCCACTGAGCATCTGTGGGGTGCAGATTCACTGAGGTACCAGATATTACCTAGAGGCAGTTTTATGATGCACTGGTAAAACGGAAAATAGAATCAAGCTTTTTCTTAGGGTAAATTATTATAACCAGTGAAAAAAAAAAGCAACTTATCGACCCTAAAAATACCCGAAATACTCGAGCTGATGATCCTTAAGCAGTCTGCTCACTGTTCAAGTCACCTGATTATTAACAGCAATGAAAGAAACCACAGTAAAGTTTCTTTATTGTAAGGCAACGTGCTCTGGGAACGCCGGCTGTCAAAAGCACTCGTTATAATTTACTCCCGAGCTGCAGCACCGTTGGCTGTGACCTATAGAGCACCATAAAGAGCAGCCATCACTTACAATTAATAACTTTTACTGCGACAGTATCAGGGGTAGAAGCTATTCTGGGTGTTCTGCTTTGTTTTGTTTCAACATGGTTATTAGTCATTTGCTCTCAACTGCAAACTGTAATTCTAGTTTTTTCCTCAGAGAAAGAAGAAACTGTTAGAATTTAATCAACATCGTTTGGTTGGAGCATAAAACAACAAGAGGACCACATACGGCACATTATACGCCCGACGACAAACTATTATACAGCAATCTATAGCAATAAGCAAAGACCTTATATAATATTTGACCTTGATTTGTGATCTTGACCTTGAAGCTGGGGTGATGAAAAGTGTGCCGGACACAGCGCATGGAGAGGATGCATACACGTATGAAGTTTTGTTAAATAATCTTTAGCAGATCAGAAGTTATGGATGGGACAAGAGAAAGTTACTATAATACATGTTATAATAATACAGTGCTTCTCTATTATTTTCTGTTATGCCCCCCAGGAAGAAGTAAACATTTCGTCCGTCCCCCCCCCCCCATAGCATTGTGGCTTTATTAGCATTAAAGAAAAAAAAAATCTAGATCAACTTACATTAAAGAATAACTTTATTATTAACATTGTTTTTAAGTGTGTAACAGAAAAAACTTAAAGTGCATCAATTTGCCTGAACCCC